CATGAATTTGTTGTAGCCATCTATCTGACTGCAGTTAGATTGCACTCTGATTGTCATCTAAATATACATCTCAACTGGCCTCGTATATAATCACCAACTCAACTTGCGTTAGTGAACAACGGAATACAATAAGTCAAATACCACAACAAATTTCGAATATGTATATTCCATGAAATCGTCGATCTGAACAGACAGTCAGAGAAACAAGGCGAAAGAAGCGGAGAGTAGAAAGGTAAGTAAAACTAAATGATGCGCGGTGGAGAAGGCGGTTGTGCCAACTCGTTCTAATCAAATGTGGTCAAGATATGACCTGAACAGAATGAATAAACTAGTCTGTCCAGAAGCTAGGATAGCTTATGTGGGCCTGACACAGCACCGGCCACCACAAATTTCCCTGGATATCAGACTATTGTTCCGTAGATGAGTTGAGCCGTAGTGAATCCAATGTCAGCTTTCATTGCATTGCGAATGCCGAGTGAAAAGAGTGATAGGGCGTCAGTCCACTAAGAGGTGTTTGCAGGTGAGAGTGAAGCTTCCGAATGTCAGTGAAATCGTTCTACCACACGTTAGCTTGTGGATGGTAGTTGGTTCCCAGTAGTGCAGTAAGACGACGGAAAAGTGCGGATTCGAACTTGTGTCCACCGTCCGTAGCAATCGTTGAAGGACAGCTGAAGTTTGCTGCCCATCGTCCGCCGAAGGCACGGATCACTTTTTCATCACCATGAACGCCTGTTTTGTCATGATGAGGATAAAGTATACAAATGAGCGGGAAAATAAATATCCTAAAATATAAGAATAATATCAACATATGTAAAAATAAAGACTGAGAGATATGTATAGTGTTCCATCAAGAAACGTGCTCACTATCGTTATTTAGTGAACCAGATCGTGTTGGGCTTACTATAAAAGATGTCACAGAGAATTTGCGTTGGGCAGCATGTTTACCCGCAACACCTTTATAATAGGACACCAACACAATCAAGTCAAAAGTCATAAATGAAGGGGCCGAGAAACATAGTAAGAAGCGAATAACACCGGCTTGAACCCCCCGGGTTTCTGGATACAAATATAACATCTTAATTGACATCTTGAGTTACTTAAACTGTTGATGATGTCACAGGTATTCAGTGTTTGACAACGCTTCTACCAGTAACACCTTCTAATATATTTCGTTCCCACCCAGAGAAATCAAAAGACAGAGTCGAGGAGATCGGAAGAGTATATTTGGCGATGACCAATATATCGGAATTCTCTGATCTAATCTGGCTAGCGATTGAGGTAGATGTTGAGCACGGCGTTACCACACGTGATCTGGTGCGGATGCCTGACCGAGCGCCTTCAGCTAGATGAGTCCACTAAAACATATGGTCAGCATCCAATGTCGAAAACTTAGTGCTATTTATTTTGGGGATTTATTTACCGCTACAGATCACTCCCCCCCTAGTGGGGCAGTGACGACCCTAAGACGTGGCCAGCCAGAAGTTTAAACCCAACGAGTTTGTCGTTGGTAAACACTCTTCTGATAGCTTACTAAGTGTAGCAGCGTCTGGTCGTCTTTCCTTACTATATGGGACGGAGGTACAACATAGTAAAAAAAGAAAATGTACAATGAAAATTTCGGATCCTCATAAACGTCATCGTTCTTTTCCAGCCGTCCTATAAAAGAAAAAAGAAAGTGTAAGTGCATGTCGAAATACACTCGTATGTGCGTAAAAGCACAATGTCGGCGGGAAAAAAATGGAAAATAAACTCATGAACACGTAATAGCGTTAAAAAAAATTGTTTTTTTTGTTTTGTTTTTTTTAAATAGAAATAAAAATATATAAGCATATTAAAATTGTTTTTTTTTAAAAAAAATAATATTAAATGTCAAGAAGTGCCTTACGTGCAATAGTCGTTTAAATGTTCTGGAAATCTCACCCTTGTTCCAGAACGCGTCGTTTTAAGTTTATTTTCGTATACTGTCGAAGTATCATCGTGTGTGTTGGTTGTCGGATTAGGTATTATAAGTGTTGGAGTCGTGTCGTTCGATTGTACCGAAGGAAAATCCACGTAGATAGGATTTCCTTCTAAATACGCCGCTTTTAAGCGATCGATGCTGATGCTATCGTTTGTTCCGTTCTTATCGACTATATAGTACTTAGATTCACGTTGAAGAACTTTGAAGGGTCCTTCGTATGCTGATTCGAATGGTCGTCGATGCGAGTCTCGACGAACGAAAACGTGTGTACTATATCGTAAGTCAGGTTGAACGAAAACATCGGTTGATTGTGGTCGGGTGGAAGCAGGTTTAACTGAACGCATTGCGTTTGTAAGCCTGTTCGTGTAGGAGGTTAGATCCATGTTCATTGAAGAGGATGAAGGATCCACGAATTCTCCTGGAAGTCGAAGTGTCGTTCCATAAACGAGTTGAGCCGCAGTGTATCCAATGTCAGCTTTCACTGCACTGCGGATGCCTAGTAAGACGAGTGGAAGAGCGTCGGTCCATTGTGAAACGTTTGCAGCTGATAGCGAAGCTTTCAGTTATCGGTGAAAACGTTCTACCAACCCGTTTGCTTGTGGATGGTAGGCGGTCGTTCGGAAGCGATTGATCCCTAAAAGTGTGGTCAGGCGACGGAAAAGATCAGATTCAAACTGACGTCCTCGGTCTGTGGTGATGGTTGAAGGGCAACCGAAGTTTGCTACCCATCGCTCGGCGAAGGTGCGGGCCACTGTTTCAGCAGTGATGTCCTTGATAGGTTATACGCTTTAACCAAGTCGATTTTCGTAAAGACAGTTGTACCTTTCAAGGTAGCTGTCAAATCGTGAATGTGAGGCAACGGGTAACGATCGGGAATGGTTTTCGCGTTCAATCGCCGATAGTCACCAGTTGGACGCCAATCGTTGCTATCCTTTTTAGGGACCATGTGCAACGGAGATGCATATGGGCTACTTGACGGTCGTATGATCCCTAAGTCCATCATGTGATCGAATTCGTTTTTCGCTAACCTTAGCTTTTCCGGAGCTAGTCGTCGTGCTTTAGAGAATACAGGTGGTCCTGTAGTCGTGATGTGATGTGTAACACACGGTAGTTCCGGTTGAGTTTGTTGTATCCCAGGGTACTTATCGAGTAGTGGTTGATAAAGTGGGTCGATCATATGCTTAACTGTGACTGGGGATAATCTGCAACCAGAAAAGGAAGTTACGCAAACGGACAAATTAGTGTTTCCGTCTACTAGCCTCCAGTTGCGCGTATCGATGATCAGATTTTGATGTTGTAGAAGGTCCATACCAATGATTGGCATAGAAACATCTGCAACAACGAAAATCCAGTGGATGGGTTTGCGTAAACCCACGTTAAGGTAAACGTACCTTTTGCCATACGTAGCGATCGGTTTTCCGTTTGCCGCCTGTAAGTTTAGGGTCGATTCGTGGAGTCGGTCGTTAGGATTCGCTGGGAGAACGCTAACTTCTGCGCCAGTATCGACGAGGTAGCGAACTCTCGTTGTCACATCTGTGACGAATAACAGACGGCTTTGTTCGCCGGCTACGGTTGCCGTTAACGCGTGCCAGCTTGGAAGTTTCCCGAGTTGTTTTTCGAGTCACTCGGTTTCGTGTTGGGAAAATTGCAGGGTTTTCTGCAATTTCTGGAAAACTTTCCATACTGGTTATGATACCAGTACCAGTCGGGGTTATCTGTCTCTCGTGGTCTAGAGACAGATCGCTTACGAGAAATGCTTCTACGTGGGGTGCGCGATCTCTTACGGTCGGTACGAAGACTAAGATAACGCGTGAGTGTGTGACATAACTCGGTTATATCATTCTGAGTCGTTTGAGGCTTTTCTTTGACTGAAAATACCTCGGTAGTAGATTTCGTAATTTCTAATATGCGGTCGGCAGATGCAGCTAGCTCGTCTAAGGCGTTGTTCTGGAACGAGACCAGAACTGCTTGCACCTGTTGGGGAAGTGTTGACAAGAAGAGTTGTTTGAATAGACCTTCGTCGAAAGTTCTTGGGCCTATAACCTCTCTCATCCGTTGCAACATGTCCGTCGCAGAACCGTGTTGCAGGTCGATGTTATTGAAGAGTTGATCTAACCTTTGTCGATCGGTTAGGTCTCCTCTTTTAAGAATCGAACGTTTCAAGGTTTCGTAAGGTTCAGAAACATCACTAGTAAACATACTAGGTGTTACGTACCTGTTGAATTCGCGCGGTAGTGCCTTGACTACTGCGAGGAATTGTGCACGTGTGTCGATCACGCCGTGCTCGTGGAAGTCGGCTTCTGCGTAGCAAAACCAGGCTTCGATGTTGTCGGGCCAGAAAGGCATCAGTTGAAACGAAGGCGGGGACAAAGTCTTAAGCTTGAGTACTTTAGGTGTCTGTTCAGTCATGATGAAGTATGAAGTACGATAATGAATGAGGGGAAAATATATATATCCAAGAAGAAACACGAAAAAAATGACAATGTTTAAAAAAAAATAAGGCAATGATATATAAAAATCCCAAAAAGGAACAGGCTCACAGTTGCAATTAGGTGTACCAGATCACGTCAGTCTCACCAATGATGATGTCACAGGTATTCAGTGTTTGGCAACGCTTCTACCAGTAACACCTTCTAATGTATTTCGTTCCCACCCAGAGAAATCAAAAGACAGAGTCGAGGAGATCGGAAGAGTATATTTGGCGATGACCAATATATCGGAATTCTCTGATCTAATCTGGCTAGCGATTGCGGTAGATGTTGAGCACGGCGTTACCACACGTGATCTGGTGCGGATGCCTGACCGAGCGCCTTCAGCTAGATGAGTCCACTAAAACATATGGTCAGCATCCAATGTCGAAAACTTAGTGCTATTTATTTTGGGGATTTATTTACCGCTACACTGTCGTTAAGAAAATGTGATCTTTCCTCTTTCTATTGATTAATTGATAAGATACTGTAACTGAACGGATAGTTGAGGTATATCCAGGTCACCATATATTGGTCGCAATTATTCAGGACTGAATTCCCGAGCATTTGTTTAAAAGGCGCGATAACTCATTCGAATCGATAGTCTGTTCCTTATGGAGTCGTCAATTATTGTCGCTGTTAGGATAAGGCCTTTAACGAAACTGTAAGTCGTCTGACCTAAGGTTATGTATTCAGAGAGGCCTTAAACAACCTACAGTGCCTTGTTCAGATTCCTAAACCAGGTGTTGTCCGTGTGTTCGAACCCAATGTTAAGAATAACAGTGTTCGTGAGTTTCAATTCGACCACACATTTTGGTCACTTAACGATGGATCAAGTCTTGTGCCACATGCAAGTCAGGAATTTGTGTACCGAACACTTGGGCTTCCACTGTTATTAAGAGCTTTGGATGGTTACAATGCATGCCTTTTCGCATACGGAATGACTTCTTCTGGGAAAACATATAGGTAAACATCTTTGATTTTCATTATATAAATATTCATGAGGAATAGTTTTATCCTTAGGATTTCAGATGCGACCAAAGGATAAGGGTTCAATCAATAGGTTGTTTGTTCACTCTTCCCCTACTTTAGTTTAAGCAGTAAAAAAGTATCTTTAGCACTCACGAAGTTGCTCAAATCCAAGTGCATAAAACACCAATTGGTGTGCTTTTTAACGCACATTGGAGGATATTTACTCAGTTTGTCAAGTCATCTTTTATAGATCCCATTCCTAATCCTCAAGTTTGAGATATATCTAACAAATTTATGGCAACTGTAGAACAATGTGTTCTACTTGAAAGGAAAACAAAAGGTGACAGGGAAAAGACATGAACATGTGGTTACGCAGTTATTTCTGTGGGTGTAGTACTTTTTGTATCTTCAAACTATATTCTTATTTGTCTATTGTCTATCCAGTTTTATTGTTTCAAATCTATTGAAATTACTGGAAGTTCTATTTTTGCAGTGTTCTATTAGTTTACAAGTAGAAAGTTTTGGTCGTGCTGGTCGGTAGTTAAAGCTTTTGACTTTCACCTACTCAGTTCTATTTCCAAACTCTTTGGCTTAATTAAGTTTCTTTAGCTGAGCAAAATTATTAATCCTCATACAAAAACTTGTTGCTGAAGTCTAAGTACGTAAACTATGCTTGACAAACAAGCTACACTATTCCCGTACTCTAAGTTCTTGAGGGGTTCACTATTATCTACTTAACGGTTAGACGGATATATGGACAACCTTTGGGCGGTGCTAAATTGTCAGACAGTCAGCAAAAACGCAGAACTTCGTACTTATGTACATCAGTTCAAGTTGCCGTCCCACATTAGCACAGAGATACAATTTTCGATTCAAATCCCATAGTGGTGTGAGGAATCAGGATTTGGATTTACAGCTGTACGTTAGGGTAAGGAGATAGATTTAGGGTTTTTATCACGCCCTGGTACGGCCGACAGTGGCGAGTCAGCTCACCCTCTCGAAATGCTTTCACATAGCCACGCGTATACAGCCACTGCTAGGAAAGTCCTACTCACTGACTTCTCGTGTCGGGGGTGTTGTTTACGAAATTGAGAGGACAAAAAGCGAATGTCCGGGTTGATAGATAGGGAGGATCCATCTAAGAGAGTTGGAAAACCCTGATTTCAAACCAATGTTCCACATGGGCTCCGGTATCCTGAAGGAACAAATGGCGTATAAACCAATTGTTGGTCACCAGCTTCCATGGGACTGCATCTCCTTACGATGCTCCACTGCCTTGTGGATCAGACCATTGGTTCGAAGGCTCCAGGTGTGGCCCCCTAAGAAAACCACCTCCTTCGGTTTGGGCACCCGAGCAGTATCACAGCCCTCACACATATCGAATGAGATGTGTTGCGCATATGTATTTGGTGCCTGCTTTTACCGATATCTATGTGTTCAAATAAATAAACGAACTGACAATCTGTGATGCCAAAATGTTAATTAACCAGTTTGGTGGATGATCACCGCGCCAAGATCCAAGACTCTTATCTTAAATCTGACTAGTTCGTCCACAAAAACTAAGTTATTTCTCCATGTGTTTCTTATTATTCTTTCTATCTTTTAAATATAGTATAACTGGACCTCCTGATGATCCAGGAATAATCCGGAGGATTTCAAAAGACATGTTCGAGGAAATTGGAAGAAGAACGGTATTCTTGGTGGTTGATGCTGTTTGATGTTAATTTAGGAATGCACTGCAAGTTTTTCTGTTAAAATGAGTTATTATGAGATATATAATGAACGAATACGTGACCTCCTCTCGTCGAACTTTACTAGAAACGGGGTACGATAAAAATTACCTCATTTTGCTTTGATATTAACCCCCACTATTTGTGAACAGTAATTTTTGTAGGGCTATTGATTTTCTGTTTCTACACCGTTGGGGAGCGAAAACCTGAATCAAAACACTACTGGCTGATATTTTTTTGCATCCGGAGTGTGCTTCAGGAAATCTGTCAGTCGATCATGTTCAGTGTGAAACCTGACACACGTGTATCGGTTCACGTTACCATGTCACATCACAGAAAAATAAAACTCAGTAGAAATTCATGGGTAGCAGAAGTTAAAAAAATAAACAGTAGTAGAAATGGAAAAGAGAACATGTTTCAGCAGAAGTCCTCAGGCAGTCAGTCAGCTACAACGTAGGACCAGGCGCATATATGCATCGGTCCAAGTTGCCATACCGCATTAGCACAGCCAGATGAACCTTGGATTCATAGAAGCAGTTAACTCAATGGTGGTAATATATAGAAGATTGCATGTAAGAATATAGTACAGGAAGAAAGATTTAGTACGTAGAAAGAAAGATATGAAGCAATTTTAATCTCGTAGTTCAAGGAAAGACGGAGAGCGTATACACCGACGCCATTGTGACCGATTCTGAGCCATGTCACCAAGAGTCTTCAACCATTGGTTGCAATAGTCACGCGGACCCCAACCAAGTAGTCTGCATCTACCAACATGGCTAAGACCAGAAGTTAGTGACTTCAAGCACTGATGCCACGTTTTGGTTTGGCCGCCCCTAACTTTCTTCAACCATCCCCAACACTACTCATCATTGCGCGTTGTGGTAATCGGTGTTCAGGCATACGTCACACGTGGTCTAACCATCTTAGTCGATGAAGATTCACAACCTCGTCAATTGATTTACCATCCTTCCCTAATACCCTGCGTTCAACATCACTATTACTTACCCGGTGATCCCAGTAGATACCAGCAATATTTCTAAGGCATCTGTGGTCATAGACCTAGTGGCTTATGAGTGTCTTCTACTCTTAATGGCCATGTTTCGCTTCCGTAAAGTAGAACAGAACGAACTGCCGCATAGTATACCTGTCCCTTAATTGATGGACGAATATCTGGCCTTTTCCATATGTGACGTAAGTTGGCGAAAGCCAAACGAGCTTTTCGAATCCGGGCAGAGATTTCGTCAGACACCAAACCATTAGGACTGATCATCAGTTACTATGGTACACTAGTTAGAAAGCAAGTCTGTGAATTCATTGACTACTGGCTTAAGCTGCGTAGAAGAATGTAATACTTAGCATAGATTCGCACAATAACTGCGATCTCTGCTCGAAGATATTTCGTGACAGCTCATAATCGGTCACTTGCACGGATGCATTCAGCCATTTTTCTATACATCTTTAGTCCTAGTATTCCTTCATATATACCTTTCCACTCTTTCTTTCGGAATCATATTCTCAATATTTAGTCTTTTAACATCACTAGTACTGCATAGTTTCAGTCCCTTTGCCTTTCATCTTAAATTCGTCTCATCGTGTTAATGGGGTGTGGAAACGAGTTAAAATAAATTTGTGCCGGGCTCTACGTTCATTATGATTGACTGTTCGTAGACATTGACATGGCTTAGGATGTCATAATGGTGCAAGTGAGTACGGTTTCTATCTTTCTACTAATCTTGAGCTTTGATAATGTTTCATACTTTTTATCTATTGAGCTCATATCACACTATATTCTCCCATTATTAATCTTTCTTACCTTCATTTACAGTACTATTGTTTAGATTCTTGCTATCCACTTTGCTAATTTAATCTAGTCGTGCTGGTAGAATATGAGAACATAAATTTGTGCCACGCTTTATGTTGGCTACGGTTGACTTTCATTAGTTAAAAACTCTGGATTTTTTAATCAACATAATTTTACTGCCTCGAACATGATTAGATACCATTTAGAATTCGGTATGTGAGTCTCCATATTCTGGGAAGATTTCATGTCGAAGTACCATCGTAAATAACGTCTTTCGCAATTTGTTCGTAGTTGGTATCTTTTAAAATCGGCTAGTCTTTTCTAGCTTATTGACGTAACTGGTTTTTGATTTAAAAGAAGTTTTGGTTTCCTACTACCTATGAAAGAATCCTTTTCTATTTAAAAAGTGTTAATTTATTGTTATTATCCATGTTTATTATCGTTTAAATTCCAGCTTGTAGTTCGTGAACACCCAGTAACTGGCCCATACATCGATGGTTTGTTATGTGAAGAGGTTTGGTCTGAATCGGATATCATAAAACGACTTGATTTTGGGAATCGTTTACGTGCTGTGGCTGCCACGCCTCTGAACGAAAACAGCAGTCGCTCACACACCGTACTCGTATTATCACTGACGAAGCGTTCAACTGTACGTTTCATAAACTTTTCTACTATTGTATCGCATAGATGTTAAAAATCTGTAAATTACTTTGCAGCGACTTACTGGTAATAAGAATTCATTCACTCAGAGTACATGCGAAGGATTTCAAACAGCTGGACATTTAATCGATCATCCGTTCTGTCATGTTTCTGCATTTTCATATTGTTATTAGTTGTAATAACCTTGAATCCGTTCATTAATGTCGAAAGTAATATACTATTATTTAGCATATGTATATATGATGAGCATTAGTTAGATTCCAACTTTTTTTTTACACGATTAATGCCTTCGAAAAATTCCATGTGAGCTCTTTATTGGATATAATTTTCTCTATTCGTTGACCTAATATTTATAAACTGGCTGATCGAGTGTACAGTGCACGGAAACTAGTGTGAAATATCGGCTTCATTAGGAATTATCTAGATAACAAAACATTCGATTAATCAAAATGAATAATTTGAGTGATCTCTTATTCTATCATACCGTAGCATTGTCAAAAGTAACAATAAAGTTGTACTATATATATTTTATAATAAAATATCGATAACTATTAGTAGTAGGAGTTTTGACTCCCTGAACTTATGACAAGTAAGCGATATTATAAACATTTAGAGCCTTATCTTGAAATATTTCTTTGTTAGGGTTGTAGATTATGAGGTGAAATTTCGGCTTCAGTGTTTCTAGCATCCCGTAGCTTATGATCATAGCCCCCAAATGCCCTGGTACGGCCGAGAGTGGGGAAAGTCCGCTCTCCCTCTCGAAATGCTCTCACATGGCCATGTGTATGTAGCCTCTTCCACAGAAGTCCTACTCACTGACTTCTCGTGTCGGGGGTGTTGTTTACGAAATTGAGAGGACAAAAAGCGAATATCCGGCGCTTGAACCGAGCTTGTGGACATGGAGAGTCCACCTAGAGGAGTTGGAAAACCCTGATTTCAAACCAATGTTCCACATGGGCTCCGGTATCCTGAAGGAACAAATGGCGTATAAACCAATTGTTGGTCACCGGCTTCCATGGGACTGCATCTCCTTACGATGCTCCACTGCCTTGTGGATCAGACCATTGGTTCGAAGGCTCCAGGTGTGGCCCCCTAAGAAAACCACCTCCTTCGGTTTGGGCACCCGAGCAGTATCACAGCCCTCACACATATCGAATGAGATGTGTTGCGCATATGTATTTGGTGCCTGCTTTTACCGATATCTATGTGTTCAAATAAATAAAATAAATAAATATGGTCATACCCTTAACTGTTATTGTTGACCCGAATCATTTTGGTAAGTAAAGACTACTTAGTTGAACTGTGCTTGATTGTCGTGACTGTTTTAGAAGTTGGGTGGGATGGTTAATGTATATCGACTCTTAATCTCCCATTAGATTCTGAGTTTCTAAATTATTTTTTCATTTATTACTCGAAATAATTATCTTTTCTCGGATCATGTTGTGTATGTCTAGTGTTTTCATCTGTCACTGGTACTACTACTTTGGTATTCCTCTTAATTGCACTTCGCCGTGTTTGAGCGACTTTGATCAATGTACACATGTGCCAGGTTTTATATTGCTTATGACGGACTTAAATCTAGTGTCACCCTGTTGTTGTCTCATAACCCTTAACCATTATGATGGTGTGCATAAATAAGTTTTTACTACATTCATAGAGAAGTTTACTCGTTAAACGCATAATAACGTTCTATATGACAGTTACATCACAACTGCGATGTAAATGAATTATACGTTATTGATTCCACAATCAGAATTTGTGTTAATATAAGTAACATTTTGTCAAGAAGGAAGAAAGAATTAGTTCGGAAAAAGAAAGGTATAAAATAACATCACTATTACTTAACCGATGATCCTAGCAGATACGAGCTACATTTCTAAGACATCGGTGATCAAATTCTTGTAACCTACGAGTATCTTCTACTCTTAATGGCCACGTTTTGCAGCCGTAAAGTAGGACAGAACGAACTACTGCACGGTATACTTGTTCCTTAATTGATAGACGGATATCTGGCCTTTGCCATATGTGACGTAAGTAGGTAAAAGCCAAACGAACTTTCTGAATCCGTGCAGAGCTTTCGTCAGACATCAACATATTATAGCTAGTCAGACTTCCAAGATAAGTGAAGTTGTCGACGCGTTCGACTATTTCACTCACTATCCTTAGTTCAGATGTTGCCGCAGGTCAGTCCTGGGACAATAACTTGGATTTAGAGGTGGAAAAACACATCCCAAACATTTTGGCATTGTTGCTCAGTGTTATGAAAAGGCTCTGCATTTTATCAGCATCTTCACCAAACAGGACTGTGTTATCTGCATATTCTAAGTCGGTAAGTAAACCTCCTGGTTGGAGATAGATTCCCGAAAATTCAGTGGACCTGAACGTTGTTTCCATCAGTACATCTATGATGAATTTGAACAAAAATGGAGATAGTGGACAGCCTTGACGGACACAACTTGAGGTTGTAAAAACAAATGACAGTTCGTCATAAACTCTGACTCGACTAGCGGTGTTCGAGTAAAGAGCCTTCACATGGTTTATGTACTTCTGAGGTACACCTTTCAATGACAGACAGTCACAGAATTTCTCGGTCTATAGAGTGGAATGCTGCTTTTGAGTCAAGAAAAACTATTGTTGTCGGACGCCGATAGGTATGCCTGTGTTCTAGAACCTGACGAATAGTGAATATGTGGTCTATGCAGCCACGACCAGGTCTGAAGCCAGTGGAAGGAGGAAGTCAAAAGAGGAAGTTTAGAGTCGAAAGTCGACATAGGAGAAATAATACAAATTGAGGAGGGAGATGGATTATGAATACCGTGATATTGAGTGCTGTTAAAGGTACGGTGGCGGTTATCACCTCCCGGTTTCTCACACTGTGGAAGGGTTCTTCTCGAGTTATCTGGAAAGGAAATCGGGTTAGGAATGGTCCTAGTGACCTGAGAGCGTTTTTCATAACCCTTTGGTTGAAATCACTAGTAGATGTTACTGCTGTTTCCACAGCTGTTCGTATATCTTTCTAAGCAACACCTGGGTCAGCCTCGTTTTCAGAACTACCTAAGTGTGACCTCAGTTGTTCCTGGAACCTACTTTTTGCTTCCTCGTCATCAAGTTCGACTCTAATGGGTCCTAATGTGGTTTTGGTGCGTCCAGCGAGGCGCAGGCATATGCGTGCTCGTATTAGAGCATGATCGTAGTCCAAACAGGTATTCCAGAACGAGCGACAGTCTTCTGTTGAACCTCTTTAACGATGACTGATGGCAATATGGTCTATTTGACTCCATTGTTGATTTGGTGCAGGCGGTCACCATGTTATACGATGTCTCTCCTTATCCTTAAAATTAGTGCTTGCTAAAAATAAACGATTGTCTGAGCACAGTTGAAACAGACGATCATCATTATCTGTTCACTGAGCCAGAATACAAACTTAGATCTATTTTACTGTTGTTGTTAACTAATTTAGTGTTTGTGAATATCACAACGAAGCTATGTTTTGGTTACGTACACTTTATCTGATTTGAACTTTTCCAGACTAAATGTCGTTTAGGAGATATTGAAAACGTTTTTAATAGTCACATAACCATTGTTGATCTCGCTGGAAGTGAACGTCAAACATCTACATCTACTTTGAGTGGACGTTTTATTGTAAGTTTATATTATATTTGAGTACTATTTTGCAAGATAGTTCATATATTGGGATTTATGTTAGTTGTATTCAGTGATTCTATGTACTTATTAATAGCAGTGGTAATAAATAAATTACACGATTAGTTTCTAGTGTTTTTTAATTTTTTTTTTTAATTATTAAGAATGTAGGTGGTGTATTGCATTTTAAAGTAAATATTTTCAAACCATTCCAGTGTTTTGGCGGTTGATATATTGTCTGGAAAGATTTATTTTTGCAGGATTTTTGAGTGTTTAGTAATTTGACACTTAATAGTAAGTATAAGAAAGTACATTTAACTGTTAAACAACATCGTGGCAATGAATGTGTTTTCAGTGAGTCAAATTTACTACTTCGAAAAAGTAGATCTAGTGTTCTGCAACACAATAAATAACAATGTCACTACTCACCCATCTTACAATGGGCTTTATCCAAAACGGTGTTTTCTTGATAAGCAGTTAGCTTAAGCTATTGATGATTTATCCGTACCAATGTTATCTACTTTTAACTGCGACATTTTTGGAATACTAATATTTTAGTTCTCCTTCATAATGTATTCCTGACTGCAAGTTTGAGTTACATTTTCTGGGTATCACTAAAAGTATTACTCATTGAAAAATGTTGCTTAGTGAACTAATCTCACCTACCCTGGTGGGTTAATGTCAAACAAAATCTTCACACGAATTCAGAAAGCCTTGTTGGCTTTTGCCAACTTGCGTCACCCGTGGTATAGGCAAGGACAGATTTACTGTATAGCAGTTCACTTCATTCTACTTTATGGTTTTGAAACGTGGTCCCTAAGAGTAGGATATTCGTTGTTTACTGGTACTTGACTGTGGATGTTTTCATAGCATTTCCTGTGTATTTTGGAACCGTCGGGTTAGCAACTCAGAGGTTATACTTAAATTTCTAGCTATGGATGGGAAATCGATTAGTCAGGTAGTGAATGTTCATTGGCTGATGTGTCTGGGATATGCATTACGTATATCTATCAACTGCATACTTCTATGGCTGATGTCTGATGTAGAAGTATGTTGAAAAAAAGCTAGGCTTGATCGACCCAAAACGTAGCATCAGTTCTTGAATGCTGTAACTGTTGGACTGAGCAATATAGGTTGGTGCAAATTAACTGTTTAGGATCAGCATAATTATCGTAGCTAATGGTAAGAGGCTTTGAATGACATGGCTCAAGATATAGGTACATTTATTCTTATTCTTTCCTTAGATTATAAGTTTCTAAATCCCTTTTAGTTTTCCTTTAATTCATTAATTAAGTTCTTGAATCGTATCTTCAGTGCCTAATCTTTCCTATTACCAACAAAACTGTCACTAGTTTTACGATTGTGGGATTTTCCTTGGAAATTTCATCTCATCGCTAATAGGGTGTGGCAACTTGCCCGATATGCACACATACCATGTTCTACTTTGCGTTTGACTAACCGACTTGCATGAAATGTAAGAACTAAAAGTAAGTACTAATATTTGTACCGTATGGCAACTTGCGTATGACTAAGTGATTGAACTAAACTTTTGGTTTCTGTTGAATGATTTAGTTAAGATACATTATTCCTATCCTTGAAATGTGGTCAGTAAGGAGGGGAAGACTATAAAGTTTACATTTTCCAGAACCTATATTGAGTTATAGGCTTTCGGATAAATAGCCTACGTACTACCCGACAGCACAAATATTAGGATAAATTGTCCCATTTCATATTTATTTTAACTGAATAATTATCTATGATAACTGCACGATGTTCTTATTTAGAATGCTTACAACGTGTTGGAAGGCTAAATAGTGTGATGTTAACACACAACCACCACAGTAGTTTGAATAATTTCTTATCTGTCCTCTAAAACAACGAGTGTGGATTACATTTCGATTCCTACATCATAGGGGCGTAACTGATTGGAGACGTTTTCAGATGTAGATATATAGCAACTACTCAATATTCCGAGAATTATTTTCTGTAACCAAACTTATGGTGTTGCATAAAGCGATTATTATTGTTGTTATTATCTCTAATGTGAGTTGAATGACGATTTAAAGTACCGATTTTCCGTTTCAAAAAACTAACATAGCATATGAGTCAAATATAATATTTTAAGCCCGGTTTGCCCGTTTTTATTTGACATTGTTTACGGAGTAGTGTAAAAACTTTTTAATGGGTAACAATTTCGTGATTTTTACTCAGCTCCATCTTAAATTTTGCTATGAATAAGAAAGGTGAAATAATTCATACTCATTTATACCAGTTGTCTATCTAGATTTACTTCATATTTTAGTCACTATGAAATTATGACAAGATTTAAATGGACAGCCAGTTTAACAAAGTGTCAGCTTGACGAAACTCGGTAGAGTTAAGAACTGGCCGGTTCTTATTTCTCATTGTTCAATTCTTTAGGCTCCGGATCGGTTACAATAAGCTCTTTCGTTCGAAGACTGGATGAGTCACTTGTTTTCAAAGTCTTACTCAGTTACCCGGGATTTACTTTCATTTCTTGAAGGGTTTGTAACAGGTCTTATAGTTTAGGAATTGTTAGTTCGAATGAAGTATTCATTTAAATTATAGTAAAGATTAAATATTATTTGCTGGTGTGACGGGTGAATTTATGTGATAATAGGATTATCAGAAAGCCGTCTGATATGTGACTGCAAAGGATTACTATTTAGCAAAAGTACAACTCTATGTACACATAACTTAAAATTACAGAAGTATGGATGTATGGTTTGTCAGTCAGTCAGCTACAACGTAGGACCAGGCACATATGTGCATCGGTCCAGGTTGCCATACCGCATCAGCACAACAAGATGAACACCGGATTCATAGCAGTGGTTGGGTCAAAGGTGGTAATATATAAGAGAAAGATTGCATATGGAGATATAGTACAAGAAAGAATTGGTTCGTAGAAAGAAAGATATGAAGCGATTTTAATCTCTTAGTTTAAGGGAAGACAAAGAGTGTATACACCGACGCCATTGTGATCGATTCTGAGCCATGTCACCAAGAGTCTTCAACCATTGGTTACGATAGTCACGCAGACCCCAACCAAGTAGTCTGCATCTACCAACATGGCTAAGACCAGAAGTTAGTGTCTTCAAGCACTGATGCCACGTTTTGGTTTGGCCGCCTCTAACTTTCTTCCAACCATCCCGAACACCGGATAGCATTGCACGTCGTGGTAATCGGTATTCAGGCATACGTAACACGTGGCCCAACCATCTCAGTCGGTGAAGATTCATAACCTCATCAACTGATTTACCATCATTCCCTAATACCCTGTGTCTAACCTCACTATTACTTACCCGGTGGTCCCAGCAGACGCCAGCAATATTTCTAAGGCATCTGTGGTCAAATACTAATAACTTACGAGTGTCTTCTACTCTTAATGGCCATGTTTCGCTTCCGTAAAGTAAAACAGAACGGACTGCCGCGCAGTATACTCGTCCTTTTATTGATAGACGGATATCTCGCCTTCGCCATATGTGACGCAATTTGGCAAAAGCCAAATGAGCTTTTCGAATCCGTGCTGAGATTTCGTCGGACACCAACCCATTAGGGCTGACCAGACTTACAAGATAAGTGAAATTGTCAACGCGTTCACGTATGGTTTGTAGAATGGAGTTTCCAATAATTCAGACCAATAACAATATGAAAGTTTGAAGGAAAAAAAGATTCTTCTCATTACTAAAAAAGCCTAAAACATTGGTTGATAGTCATAATGTTTCTCGTAACTATTAAATTTGTCAGTGTTTATTGCCATTTCTTTTATTCATTTCTTGTAATATATTATTTTGATTTTTAAAATAACGTTTTTGAAAAGGTTATGTTGTCAGTGACCTATGTAATTATTTTCTTCATTGAGCTCTTGCAATTTTATAGGTCCACTTTTATTCACCATGTGTTTTAGGAAAGCTGTCAAATCAACAAATCGTTGTTTACTCTCGGGAAAGTAATCACTCAACTTTCCCAGAATATCACTTACAAGAGAAGGGCATTTCCATCCCCTGAACCACGTTCAGTTGTTCAGGATACTTGTCCACTGCTTTCAGTAACACCATGCCGATTGGTCAATAAACGACGGGATTTTGTTTCTTATCGCGATTCTTTGCTAACCTGGTTTGTTGATATTTATGGTTATTTTTTGTTAAATATTTTTATGCATCCAGTTGTAGTCACTTAACCAGTATCCAATTATTGACTCATTATTGAACATGTGGTCACAAGATTTTGAATCAACTCATTCACTGTATGCTCGTGTCTCGTTATTATTCCATTTAATTTTAGTGAAGTATTTCACTAGGTTAAGATAGCTAGTTGCATTTGGTCTTTTCATAAGTTAATTGCACTGTTTCTTTTCTCTGACTAAGGATTTTCTTAGTCATTTACTAATTGGGGCTGATAGAGTTAAAACATTGTAGTTGGTCAGTTACTTGCAACGCGTTAGAAAAACCAAACAAATTAAATTAAGTATCAGAAGTAAATGATTAAGAGTTAATTTAAAATAAGATCAGAATTTTAAAGCATTGAGGTTTTCTGTGGTTATTGGTACTCACAAGATTGCTTATAAGTAGTATATAGTGCGTCTCATGGAGGTTGCTACAGTCGGCAGCCAAAGAGAATAGTTCCAGAAGTTCAAAAAACATGGCATATGCAGAACACCGAAGACCAGAAGAAAAGCGAGAGAAGACAGTCTAGAACCAATTTGAATTGCAGAACATGCTAATGTATGACTGAAAACTAGGTGTACATATTGCACGAACATTCTTTCTGCCAGTGGCTTCTCATTACACATCGTTAGTGAAAATAATATATTTGTAAAGTCCCAATGAGTAAAAGCTAGATTTCTGACGTTTCGTGACTTAGCGTAAGACACTTCTTCACAGAATAAAAATAAACAAATTGAATAAACATGAGTTCAAAAGACAAAGAAAAATGTTTTTAGTACAATCGAAATTAAGATAGGTCTAGTCATGCTAGTGTTATTATGTTCTTTCGAACAAGGTTATTTCATATTTTGTGATACCTAGTTGTATGTCGTTGTGTGTGTGTTAGCGGGTGTGAAAGATGATACTGGTATTCCTTTCTGGGTAATTTTGGCATTATTAATATTCATTTGGTAGTTGCTAGATAATAACATGTACTGTTATTGCTAATTTGATTTGTAGATTTTCTAGCTCTAAATGATTCTTTGGAGGTCTTTTTGTGTAGCCTGGATCCTGTTTGACACAAGCCTTGATTTCACGAGAAGGTTGCCCAGAAAAGAATGCACCATAGTCTACACATCCTAGTCTGTTGGCACACTGTTGTGTTGAAGCGATAGGGATTTTGTCCTTGATTTGAACCAAAGCACTTCGAAGTGTTCGTTATTTTATAGAAATTTTTAATTCTGTGTGATCTAAGTATTCGTTGTAGTTCTTATGTTGTTTCAGTGCTGTGCATCAGTGCTTGAAGTCACTAACTTCCAGCCTGTGCCATGCTGGTTGATGCAGACTACTTAGTTGGGGTCTGCGCAAATATCATGACCAATGGTTAGAGACTCTTGGTGACATGGCTCAAAATCGATCACAATGGCGTCGGCGTATACACTTTATGTCTTCCTTTAAACGGTGGGATTAAAATTATTTTACACCTTTCTTTCTACGAACTAATTCTTTCTTCCTGTATTATATTCTTATACACAATCTTTCGTTCAAACATTACTACCATTGAAGTGATTATTTTTATGAATTCGGTGTACATCTTGTTGTGCTAATGAGGTGTGGCAACTTGGAACAACGCATATATATGCGTGGTCCTACCTTGTAGATGACTGACCTTGAGGATACAAAAATGTGGTTTGCATCTTTATAGGTTGAAATGGATTTTTGTAACAATCAGATAGACTGACATTGCAACAAACGATAAGAGTAAACAATCACAAAGTTTTTGAAAGGCCCAACACGTGATGTCAATCGGTAATTAGTTACTTGACTAAACAAAGGAAATATATCCTTAGTGTATTTGAACCAAATTAGCCCTTTCAACAGTTGCGCTGAGCGCTCCGATTTTTGGCTATCTCAAAATAATAATATTGATCAAAGAGAACTAAGGATACACACAAAGTCCAAAGAATACATGGAAACATTGAGGCTAGCGAATACTGGCCAGGACAATGTGGAGAATTTTCGGTTTATATATATTGGTTTGTAGGCTAATGATAATAATTTATACCATATGGTATTTCTAAATAATGCGAATTCTGAATGATAGTACCTGAAACTTTCATGCACAACTAAAAGTGAACACGAAACCACGCTTTCAGGAAAATAATTAGATTTCAATTTACATAGAACACCACTTGATTTATTTATTTATCTATTTGAACACATAAATATTGGTACAAGAGAGCGCCAACATATATGCACCACACAAAACAATGAGAATTCGAAGAGAAATAGAAAAAAAAGAAAACAATAACGAAGCGATTGGTGTAAGGTAGTATGGTAGTAATGAGGGAACGCAAAGTTACAATCGGAAGAAATCTTTCAGGTAAGGGAGACACAACCACTTTTTATGAAGAAAGTAAAAGAAGGTTACAGCAGGATCGCCACTGGCTTCTATTCTAAGCCATATCTGATAACGTCTCTAGCCACTGTGTTGCACCATCTCTCAGACCCCAACCAGGGAGCCGTGAATAACCAACAGAAGTCAGCCCTTTGCAGCTTTCTTTCATACCACGACATCATGTCATACACCGACCACCTCTCCGCTTCCTCAAACCAGTCCCAGAGTCGGTAAATAATACACGACGTGGAATTCTCTGGGAAACATTCGGAGAACATGTCCAAGCCACCGAAGTCGGTGTTTCAAGATGGTGACACCAATGGCATTATCGTCTCTGTGCCTGAAAACACGACGCCGAACCTCTGCATTACTAACATGGTGTTGCCACTGGATGTCAGCAATCCTTCGGGGACAACGATGATCAAACACAGTTGTCTAACATCCTTAACTCGGAGAGGCCAGGTTTCACAAGCATAGAGCGAAACTGCTCTCACCGACGCGTTGTATACAGCCAGACTAACATCACGAAGGCGCTAAAGATGACCCAGATTGGCACAAGCCTCTTTGGCTTTCACTATATGTGAATTGATCCGACTACACACGTCATTACTGGCACTTATGCAGCTACCCGGATATGCAAACCTCTCGACTACTTCTATGTGCTCATTACCCAGGGTGAATACAGGATCAGGATCCTGCCAGTCTTGTAAAAGCACTTTGCACTTCGAAGGTGCAAAGCACATACCGTACCTACGGACATTGATTGCCAACTGATTAAGTGTGGATTGCATGGCTTGGGCATCATCACACAGTAAGACAATATCATCCGCATACTCAAGGTCGAGAAGTCTTTCTCCAGCAACGGATTCACACTGCCATTACTTGCATCTATCAGAGCTGTCTCCAGAATGTCATCGATGGCAAAGTTGAAGGGGAATGATGAGATTGGGCAACCCTGTCTAATCCCACTGCTCGAATGGAACAATGGAGAGAGGTGGTTGTATGCCCTCACTCTGCCTGAGGTGTTTGTATATAGGGCTTTTGGGATGTTAATACACTTCTCAGGCACACCCTTCTTCAATAGACAATCCCAGAGAACAGCCCTGCCCACCGAATCGAAGGCAGCCCTGATGTCAAGAAACACTACGATTGTTGGCCTTTGATAAGTATGACAGTGTTCTAACATTTGGGGGAGGGTGAAGATTCGATCAATACATCCTCAACCAGCAGGAAAAGCAGCCTGCGCCTCGCGTGTCAATCTTTCTTGGGTTTCGAACAAGCTACGAAGTATGACGAAAGCCAATAGCTTGGACGCAATCGGAAGTAGACTTATCCTCCGATAGTTGTTACAGGAACGACGTGAACCATTTTTAAAGATAGGGACAACTATCGACTCATTCCATGACGTTGGTACACCCTCTAGTTCCCAAACCTCTGTAAACAACGTCGTCAATTCCTTAGTCAAAATGTCACCACCATCTTTAAAAATAACCGGAGGTAAGTCATCTGGGCCAGGTGATTTGTAACGCTTCAAGAGTTGGAGTTCCTTGCGGACTTCCTCCTCATTTGGTGGATCAGTCGTCACCGGCCATGGAGGGCAGGACAGTCTGACCGATGTTGCCGGAGCAGCAGGTCAGTTGAACTGCCCTTCGAAAAATTCTGCCCATCGTCCAAGACGTCGATGGATGTTAGTGATTGGCATCCCATCATCCTCGCAGATTGTTTCACTCACACCAGACTTCTTGCTGCCAGTGGCTCGGATGAGTTGGAAGAGCTTCCGGTAGTTACCAGATGCAGCTGCTGCTTCCAGCTCATTAGCACGCTTCGACCACCAGGCTTCACGGTCCTTACGCAAGCTTTGCCCAATTTCCTTACGTAACATCCTTCGTTTATGGTCAAACTCACGGTCACCCGGAGTAGACCGACGGGCTTCAATGAGTTGTAAGGAACCTGCAGAAACCCAGTGCTTATAAGCGGGACGTTTCGCGAACCCATAACTGACTGTACCCGCCATTTTCATGGCGTCATGCAATTGTAACCAATGCTCATCTATACTTTTCGGTGGAGTGGTAGCTAGCCCAGAAACTAGAGGCTAGCTCGGTTCGATACTTACTTGCAACCAGCTTGCTAATATCAATCCGTTGATGGCGGTCACTTCGTTGTCCACTGAAAAGTAAGGCAAGATTGGCGCAGACCAAGGCATGGTCAGAGTCCAGATAGGTACTCCAAAAGGAGCGGCAGTCTTGTACACAACCACGCCAGCGGTAGCTGATCGCGATGTGATCAATCTGAGTCCAGGCTTGAGATGCAGAGGGAGGACGCCAGGTGGCACATCGGCGATGACTGTGCCGAAAGTTAGTGCTAGCCAGAAACAGGTTGTGGTCTGTGCAAAGTTGCAGTAGACGGTCCCCGTTATCTGACCTGCGACCAACGAGTCCCCATCGGCCACCTAAACGACTCTCTTCCGTGCCTAGACGCCCGACCTGAGCATTCAAGTCTCCGGCTAGTACTACACCACTTGATACAAGATACACGAAAAATCGCACTGATTCTGGAACATCTACTGGAACAAT